CCCAAGAAGCTGCCTTCCCTCAGAGGCCCCCAGGGACACATTTGTTTGTTAAGTGATTGCCACTGACCTAGCCATGACCGCAGTCTGCAGCCCCCTGGGCATCTAAAGGCAACAGCTAAGGGGACTCCTGGGTTTGCCTGGCTACTAAGGGGCAGAAAAAGAAGTAAGATGGCTACAGTACCACAGGCTGCATGAAGACTTGTATCACAGGACCTGTGTCAAGCCACGGGGCCAGGTGAGAGGAATGGTGTACAAGGAGGCAGGTCGGAGCTAGATACACTCCTATAGCCTAGAAACACAAACTGTTTGGGATCTCTTCCCTCACCTACTACCCATAAAAAAGGGTAGATTAGGTCTTTCTCCCTTTTTTTTTCCTTTAACCATTCATTCAGGAAATACTTATTGGCAGGCACTGTAATACCCACTATGGGGATTTAAAGAAAAAAGATAGGAGCTTTCTCCTGGAGTTCATAGGGTAAGTAATAGATAAGTTGACAACACTACAAGTAGAAAGGAGGATGGTATAAGCGGAGGGAATGGCATATGCTGCAATGGCCTTTGGAAGGAGGGACCATGGCTGGTTTGAGGAGCTGAAGGCCAATATAGCTGGTAGGCAGAGAGCTTGTGGGAGTCTAGCATAAGCTTAGGCTTGATCTGTAGGCAGGGATACCCATGGAAAGGCCTGTAGGAAGACCAGGTGAGAGGACAACATAATGTCAGCTTGGGACATACTAAAGTTGATGTATCTTTGAGGTCTTTCACTATGTGCATCTGGAGCTTGAAGGGGAGGAATGGGCTAGAGATATAACCTTAGGCCACCACCCATCTGTCATTTTATCATACTGTGGTGGCTTTTGTGTTACTCTGATGCTGGAAGCTATGCTACCAGTATGTCAAATACCAGCAGACTGACTCATAGTGGACAGGCTTCAGGAGACCTTCCAGACTGAGATGGACTAGGATTAGAAAGGCCTGGCAATCTATTTCTAAAAAGTAGTCAGTGAACAGTGTCTGACATAGTAGGAAGATGAGCCCCCCTGAGTTGGAAAGCACTCAAAATACACAGTGATCACAACAGTGGACTGGAGCATACGAATGACTGTGAAGATGGTGCAAGACTGAGTAATGTTTCATTCTGTTGAGCATGAGGTCTCCATGAGTTGTAACCAACTTGATAGAAACTAACAACAACACAAGCTTAGGAGTTATCAGGATGTATGTGCTCACTGCAGCTGTGGGCGCAGATGAAATTGCTTAGGGAGAGGGTATAACATGAGAGGAAGAAGGCCAAAGTCCATGTGTTAAGAAGTGAGCCTGCAAAGCCAACAGAGAAGATAAGATCACAGAGGTAGGAAGAGAAGCACATGATATGGTGACAGGGAAGAGTGTTCCAAGGTAAGAGAGATCACCAAGTGTTGATGCTCCTGATAAGTCAAGCAAGATGAGGACTCATTTGAAAAATGTCTTTCGTATTTGGTGACATGAAATCATTGGTAACTGTAGTAAGGGCTGTTTCATAGTGGAAGGATAGAGGTGGAACCTAGTTTTAGAATGGGTTGAGGAGTGAGTGGGAGGTGAAGAAATGAAAACAGCTTGGCTGAGAACTGTGGTTGTGAAGGGGGAGGAGAGAGGAGAAAGAGAGGGTAGCTGGAGGCTTTCTCAGTGTGAGATTGAGAAAGATTGGGTTATTTTCTTTTTACAAGGGACTCTCAAGCATTTGTTAATGCCAAGAGGAAAAATCCAGATTAGGGGGTGGGTGGACAGTGTTTGAATCTACCTGAAGAAAAGGGGATAATTAATAGGGTAAGTGACTAAGACCAAAGCCAAACCAAACTCACTGGCATCAAGCTGATTGTCACTCACAGAGACCCCCATTGGGTTTCCAAGGCCTGTAAGTAAATCTTTATGGAAACAGATTATCTCATCTTTTTTCTGTGTAGTCGCTGGTGTGTTCAAACCATCAACCTTTTGGTTAGCAGCCAAATGCCTTAACCACTGCAGCACCAGAACTCCTTAAGGTACCTGAGAAGGGTGGGTAGGGAATGGACTCCAAAGCCCAAGTGGAAGTTCTGCCTCTATCAGGAGGAGGGACAGCTGAGAGGAAGGATTGCTTGGTGTAGCCATAGGCATTGGGATGACTAGTTGAGGGAGATGAGGGAGTTCATGGCCTCCAATATCTCCATGAATTAAGAGGTGAAGCCCTCTGCTGAGGTTTTGGGCTGCACTCAAGCCTTTCATCACTTATTCTCCTTTCAGGCTGCCCCTAACTGCTGTTTCAAAGTGAATGCAGTGACTCAGTTTGTTTTGCCTATGGTCCCTGCCCTGTAAAAGACCTCAAAAGAAGCAAAAAGGGGAGAGAAGTGGGCAGGAGACTCCCCAGTCAGGACATCCCGCATAACTGGGGGCTTGGATTAAAATTGTGAGAGGATAGGACTGGAAATTACTTCTCTCAGAAGCAGAATCATACTGCAAAGGGCAGTTGGACATTTGCTCAGGAAGGAATGTCAACTGTTTATCTTGGTTTCCCATTTCTTTGTGTGGAGGGTGGCAAGTGGGAGGGAAAGAGCAATGGTGGCCAGTATTCCTTGTATAGAAGTGAGTGAGGAGGTAGAAGAAGGGGGGATGGGAATTGAGAGGTCATTCCTCCCTGGGCTAGGCCCCCTTTGGGATGGAGTGGAGAGACCTCCTTCAGGTGGAGGAGAAAGATTAGGATTGGAAAGGCAACAAAGAGGAACCAGGGCCTCCTGGCTAGGGAGGGAGTGGCCTCTGGAGAGACCCACCCATGCCAGTAGGAAAGGAGAGGGGAGGCTGGTGCCTGGAACAGCTGGGACAGCAAGGGCCCCAGCTAAAAGCTCCATGTTTTCCTAGATTCAGCTAGGCACATACATTCCAGGTAGTTCCTTCTTTGCACAGTCCACAGGGACCAATGTTGTTGGGGACACCCTCTTTCTTTGGGGTCCAGTGAAAAAAGGGATCCCTATGAGTTGAGAGCTGAGTCCTGGAAAGGCGGAGGAGGGGGATTATGGGGCATAGGTGGGTGGAGAAGCCTTTTTAATCATTAACCTGGTTGATTGAAATCTGAACTGCTGAGCCTCCCAGCTCTATTGATTTTCTCTGAAAGCACAGCTTCTGGAGCTGGTGGCTGCTCAGAGACCAGGGAGAGGGACCGAGGGTAGAGGGAAGGTAGGAGGGGGACAGGGAGGGTAATGGGAAGCAGGTCGGGAGTGGGGGGCAGGGGAGGAGGGAGGAGGCAGGGCTGGGGAGATAGTGGAGAGAAGTCTGTAGGGACCCCGGGGAAGGACAAAAAGACTAAGGGAATGATAGGGAGGGTGCAGCTATCATAGCCACAGAGGCACCACTGAGAGCCCGAAGGAGCCATAGAGAGGATCTGGCAGAGATGAGGAAACTGAAGCACAGAGAAGCACAGTGACCTGCTCGAGGTGACAGTGGCAGAGCCTGCACCAAAACCAAGGTCTGCTCTCATTGCTTTGAGGAGAGGAGAGCCAGAAATGAAGGATCCTGAGGTCAGAGAGAAGCTGAGCAGATGGACATGGCTAGAGAGGCGATTCAGTTTACAAATAACCATTTTTCTTAGGACAGGGGCCTTTGCTCTTTTTTGCCTATGAGGATATAGTAGGCATTCAAAACACGGTTCTGGGGAAGACAGACCTGGCGATCTACTTCCAGAAGGTCACAGCCATTGAAAACCCAGGAACACACAGTTCTACTCTAATACACTTGGAATTGCTGTGAGTTAGAATCAACTCTATGACAACTGATTGGGTTTTTTGATTCCCTCCCACCTCTGGTTATGAGAATAGTATATGATTGTTAAAGAATATTTTGGGAAAATAATACTTTGAAAAGAAAATAATCTGTCACCTCACCTCATTAACTACAAGTTACCACTGTTTTTAAAAAAAAAAAAAAAGAAAAGAAAAAGAAAACATGGCTCCGGGCTGACTGAGGGAGGGATCAGGCCAACAGAGGAGGAAGAGGAGATGCTAGAAGGAGCTGCATGGGGAGAAACACCAAGAAGACACCTGCCCATGTTCATTAAGCCAAAAACGAGGGCTCTGACTAGATGGGTTTTCGCCAGGACATCATACTGGGCTCCTGGCTCCCCACTATGTCTGACAGTAGGAGTCATCAGTCTACATCACCTCTGAAACAGAAGGGAAGCTCTCTATGGGGAGCCACATTCTGGCAAGCAGGGTCAGAAACACACATGTGGGTGCTAATGTGCCATTCTGGTCCCCCATAGCTCCTCTTGCCAGTGCCAGTTCCTAGAATAGCTCTTTGAGAGAGATGAGCCAGGCTGCCTGCTGAGTGATATGCTTCCTGGGAGAGCAGAAAAGGACCGGAAGGGGCAAGGGCTGACACAGGGCAAGGTCTGAGTCAAGGGCAATCTAGTAGAGAGGAACAGGAATGATGACAAAACACACATACCCACACACAGAGGTAACATGGCTCAGATGACAGAGATGTTATGATTCTCCAGAGAGCAGCAGACAAAAGGTTGTCTCCTGGCGATCTACTTCCAGAAGGTCACAGCCATTGAAAACCCAGGAACACACAGTTCTACTCTAATACACTTGGAATTGCTGTGAGTTAGAATCAACTCTATGACAACTGATTGGGTTTTTTGATTCCCTCCCACCTCTGGTTATGAGAATAGTATATGATTGTTAAAGAATATTTTGGGAAAATAATACTTTGAAAAGAAAATAATCTGTCACCTCACCTCATTAACTACAAGTTACCACTGTTTTTAAAAAAAAAAAGAAAAGAAAAAGAAAACATGGCCAGGCTGTGTCCTCAGACAGCATGTCTCCAGGTTCTATCTGTGGTCATGGTATTAACAGGTGCACCCTGTCCTGCATCTTGGAAGCTTCACCCTAGACATGCCAGGGGAGGCCGTGTGGCGGCTGGGGTGACAATAAAGGTGGTGAGTGTGGACTCCTGTCTGTAACATTTTTTCTCTCCCTTTTCTCTGACAGCTCAACATCTTGGTGGACACGGGTAGCAGTAACTTTGCAGTGGGGGCTGCCCCCCACCCTTTCCTGCATCGCTACTACCAGAGGCAGCTGTGAGTTCTGGGGAGAGCTAAGGGGGAGAACTCTTCCCAAGGATCCAGGGCTGAGAAGGGTCTAGGGAGAGGTGCAAGGAGAAGACTAGATCCTCAGATGCTTTCTTCCTGCTAGGTAAGGGAAGAGAGAAGGGGACAGTGATCAGGAGAAGGGTGAATTTCAGGAGAGAACAGGATATGGGAAAGGCTAAGTTGAGAGGCAGCCAGAGAGCATGTCAGTACTAAGACAAGGCAGCTTCCTGTGGGACATGAAGAGGGAGGGAGAGTAGTACCACAGTTCACAGAATAACCTCACAGGTCTTCCCAAACTTCTTTCCTTCTGTCTGAACGGGTGGTGAAAGGGACTTCCTCTCACATCCCCTTTATTATGGCTCAGTGTTCATGGAAATACCAACCAAGTCTAGGCTGAACAGGGAGCAGGGATAGCTCTCTTTGCTTTGTCCTCATCCCTACAGCTCAGGGGCCACTCTAGGTGGTTTTACACAGTTCAAGAAGGAAAGGAAAGCCTTCCATAAACCCCATTGTCTGGACCATTATGAGGGTCTTAAGGCTAAAATATCTCCTCTCTGTACCTCCCAGAGTTCCACCAACTAGATTTAGCTTACTGATGAAGTGGGTTTTGAAGGTCAGAGAGGCAGTAAAGGATGATCTTGGAGCCTCTTAGCATAAAAGTAGGAAGAGGAAATTGCAAGAAGACATCTAATGGCTGAGACATTTCTGTGTGGAAACGTGAACAGAGGTTTAAATCCCATTCTTGGGCTTGCAGGCAGGTGCAAAAGCCACTTTTACCACTTCCTGTCTTTTTTGGCCCCTTTGCTTTACTTCCTAATCTAAAATAAGCAGTCAAGGAGTGGGGCATGCAGGATCAATGGAAAGGAATCCATTCTGGTTCTTCTGAATTCCCCCACACACACCCTCCAGCACACACACACAAGGCTGACTGTTGGCTGATTAAACACAGGTGATGGTGTCACATGTATATGTGTGTTTCACACAAGTGGCGTGCTACCTATGTGCTCTGCTGAGATGCTTATGCAAATCTCTTCTCTGGAAGAACCTGCTGTAGTAGTTCCACATTCCTTTGCCTGGCACTTTCTCTACCACTCAGATGGTACCACCAGGTCCCAAGGCAGCAAGAGAGTCAATGGCTCCTTTTCTCTGGGAGCTTGATGGCACTGGGGGGAGGAGGAGATGCAGCAACAGGCACAATACACAAAGCCTAGGCTTGTTCCTCACAGGGCCTCGGTTCAAGATCAGGAAACATGAGCTATGGAGGCAAGAGAGCCCCAGCAATGGCTCCCCTCATCCATTTGGAAGGTTATTTTCCCATTCTATTTTAGGTTACCAGTCTAGGGATGTTGTGGTGAGTAGTCAAAAGGCAGACTAGTCTAGGATGCCACTGAGATAAGGTTAGGCTTTTGGAAGATTTGATGCTAAATGCCTGCAATCCTTGTAACAGTTGTTTTGGCTATGTATCCACAGATCTCTGCTTCCTTTCCACAGGTCCAGTACCTATCGGGACCTCCGGAAGGGTGTGTATGTGCCCTACACCCAGGGCAAGTGGGAGGGGGAGCTGGGCACCGACCTGGTGAGCATCCCCCATGGCCCCAACGTCACCGTGCGTGCCAACATCGCTGCCATCACTGAATCAGACAAGTTCTTCATCAATGGCTCCAACTGGGAGGGCATTCTGGGGCTGGCCTATGCGGAGATCGCCAGGGTAAGAGGGACAAGATCTGGCCCTACACATTGCATATTGCATGTACAGGAAAGGAGCTGGGAGATAGATGGGGAAGAAACTAAGAGGGAAACAAGTGTTTGAAGAAAGATTTTTTAACAGGGGGAGAGGGTGATGGTCTGAATTTCATCTCTATAAAGGGCAGAATTATGGGGAAAGAAGTTGTGATAGGTACAGAAATAGACTGTGGTTCCTATTAACTCTAAGATCTTTAAGAGAGGCCCCATAAATCTAAAACAGGTTAGGTATATGGGGATCAAAGATCCTGTAGGGGGTAACCCCATCAGTGGTTTCTGTTTGCATTGCCAGTATCTCTAAACCCCTCTCGACCGAATCTCAGTGCTTTCAGATCATCTTTCCCAGGGATCATCTCCCAAGTTTTTGCTCTCGCCTTCCAATTTAAGCAGAAAGCTGTACTCTTCCCATGAGGGCCCTATGTGAGGATTCACTCTTTGTCTCTTTCTGGCACAGCCTGACGACTCCCTGGAGCCCTTCTTTGACTCTCTGGTAAAGCAGACCCACGTTCCCAACCTCTTTTCCCTGCAGCTCTGTGGTGCTGGCTTCCCCCTCAACCAGTCAGAGGCGCTGGCCTCAGTTGGAGGAAGCATGGTGAGTAGGTCTTCAGAGAAGAGGTTTTGGCACTGGGCAGAAAGATGGGTACTATCTCCTCCCCTCCTTCTAAGGAGTTTAGCTCCACTATTTAGAATCAAAAGAAACACCTTTATCTTCCTTACCCCTACTTTTTTCCCCATCCTTTTCTCCTTTGCATTATTCCAGAAAGGATCTGAGAAACCTACGGTAAATCTGGAGAGGATCAGAAATGATGAAAAGGAAATGAAGATAAGGCCAATCAAATTAAGATTATTCAGTCTGATGATTAGAAGGCAGATATATAGGGAGGTTAAGTCTATTTATTAATTAATTAGGACAATGGTAAATGGTTCTTCATCTCCAACAAGGAGAGAAAAGAAAACTTACGATAGAAGCAAATAATCATTCAACATTTATTGTGTCAGTTTAAGTTTAAATAACTTTATATCAAGGATTGTGTGATTCTGAAACAAATAAAAATCCTGGAAAGTCTTTTCCCCTGAACACATTTAAGAAACTATAAGTCGCCAAGGGGCATGATTTGATTGGAAGCAGGAAGATGAGAAAGGTCATCTGTAGCGAGCCTTGCCATCCACGAGATCGCCAGTCCTAGTGCTTGCTCTCTTCTGTGCCATAATAACATGGGTGCCCGCCTTTCTTTTCCTCCAGATCATTGGGGGTATCGACCACTCACTGTATACAGGCAGTCTCTGGTACACACCCATCCGGCGGGAGTGGTATTATGAGGTGATCATTGTGCGGGTGGAGATCAATGGACAAGATCTGAAAATGGACTGCAAGGAGGTAACAAAACCAGGGGGCAGCCAGGGAGAGGTAATGGAGCAGGCAACACAGCATGAGGCTAAGACCCTGGGTTGTGAGATGGGGCAGGATGAGACAGAGGAGCAGGACCTGCAGGAAGGTTTCAGTGCTAAGCACTCGCACAGGACCAAGTGGCTTATGTAATGAAGAAAGCATGGAACTAGTTAACAATGTCTGAATTCTAGTCACTGCCTTGCTTTATGACCTTGGACATGTCATTTGGGAGGCTGTATGATAATGACATAGGAGATGGGGCTTTGGAGGCTGACCTAGGTTTAAATCTAGCTTTGCCATTTACTAGCTATGTACCTGTAGGCAAGTTACTAACCTTCTGTGCTTCAGTTTCCTCATTTGCAAAACAGAGGTAAAAACAGCTTTCCCAAAGATGGTGGTCAAGATCAGTGATGATGTTTAAAGTGTTTAATCCCAGTGCCTGGCACATAGCAGGTAACCAATAAATGGCAAACAATTTGAGCCTTCCTTACCTAACTGGATTCTGTATGTTAAATTACAATAGATATAAAAGTACTATGCAGAGTTAAAAGCACTAAGGATTAACATTTACCGAATGCTTCCTATGTGCCGGGTGGTATTTTAAATGCTTTAAATGTATTAATTCATTTAAGCCTTATAATTACCTTTTGAGGTAGGCACTATTACTATCCCCATTTTAAAGATGAGGAAACTAAGGCATAGAAGTTACGTAACCTGCCCAGGGATACATACCTAAGAAGTGGCAGACAGGATTCCAAACCAGGCAAGGACCTCAAGCAGTCAGACTTATCCCTTGAGCTTAGCCAGAGCCTGGCATTAAAAAAGTCTTTTGACTATTCTAATCCATTCTTCTCTCTCCTAGTACAACTATGACAAAAGCATCGTGGACAGTGGCACCACCAACCTTCGTTTGCCTAAGAAAGTGTTCGAAGCTGCAGTCAAATCCATCAAGGCAGCCTCTTCGGTCAGTGGGACTAAATAGAGGGGTACAAGAGATGACACTGAAAGGAAATGTCGGAGGAAGTCAGTGAAAGTCACATTCCTCAACAAGAGCCAGGATATCTACCCTTAGCGTCGAGCCAGGATATCTACCCTTAGCGTCGAGCCAGGATATCTACCCTTAGCGTCTTCCACTTATTGCTCCTGAAAACTATTCTCTTGTCCCTTCTTTATGAGCCTTGGTTTACTCATCATACAATTTCCTGACCTCAGTCTTCTGATCTCTTACTAATTCTGGGGTTGCAGTCTGCCTTTCCCCAGTTTGGTTATTCCACTGGAAGAGCAAACAAAGGGCCCAGTCAGTTATCTGAAAGCGAGAGATGTTGAAAGAGGTTCTTTCCTCATTGTTACCCTCTTCTTGCCAATACAGACAGAGAAGTTTCCAGATGGTTTCTGGCTAGGGGAACAGCTTGTGTGCTGGCAAGCAGGCACCACCCCTTGGAACATTTTTCCAGTCATCTCACTTTACCTAATGGGTGAAGTCACCAATCAGTCCTTCCGCATCACCATCCTTCCACAGGTATGTCCCTACCTTGAATCAGTAGGATCCCAGGAAGAGGAAAAAGTACATTTGGGGGATAGTGGGCAGGCATGGCTTCCCAGAACTAAGAAATAAAACAGAGGAATGTCCAAAGGTAAAGGGTCCTTGGAAAACCCAACCCCACACAACTTAGGGATAGTAAGTGGAAGAGCTCACTAAGGGCAAAATACCTAAAAGACAGGGATATAAGATGCAGTAAGGAAGAGATAGCCTCATCCATAACTGCTTCCTTCTAGCAATACCTGCGGCCAGTGGAAGATGTAGCCACATCCCAAGACGACTGTTACAAGTTCGCCATCTCACAGTCATCCACGGGCACTGTTATGGGAGCGGTTATCATGGAGGGATTCTATGTTGTCTTTGATCGGGCCCGAAAACGAATTGGCTTTGCTGTCAGCGCTTGCCATGGTGAGAGCCAGGGATAAGGGTATGGGGCCACTCTATCCATGTTCTCCCTGTCTGGCAGTTAGGACACCTGGGATCCTGCCAGTTTGGGAGGTAGTAAGAGTTGCCTATAGCCAAAGTCAACATATTGTGCAAAATCTAGTGTCAGTGTGTGTCCCTTTCCTGTACTGCCTGGCATGGTGATCCCTGCCAAGTTAGTGACCTCTGCTGGAAACCCAGGGGAGTAAGAGCTGCCTAGGCACCCTGAGGAGCTCCAGATCCACAAGCAGCAGGCTGAGCCTCTGGTGACCCCATCAGCTGCTGTATAATGAAGTTGAGTATCGGACAGTGGGCAGGTGGCAGAGTCTTGCAAGTTGGCTTTCAGCAGTGGCAGGTGAGTTTACTAAGGATGTATAAGGTGCTGGCTTTTTGTGGTCATCTCAGAATTACTGACTTTCAGGTATCATTCCTACTAGACAGGTACATAGGGAAGGGCTGTTGTTCCCACACATACCTGCACCTGGCATAGGCTTTCTGTCCTGCTCCTAAACATCTCCAAGGAAGGAGATTCTACAACCTCCTCAGGTGCTAATCTCAAGGTCTCACTCTCTAGAATTTCTTTTTATTGTATAATCTAAACTGCTAGATGACAATGAGAGCTGCCATTCGTATTTGCCCTTTCCCCAGTGCACGACGAGTTCAGGACAGCAGCAGTAGAAGGCCCTTTTGTCATGCCAGACATGGAAGACTGTGGCTACAACATTCCACAGACAGATGAATCAACTCTCATGACCATAGCCTATGTCATGGCTGCCATCTGCGCCCTCTTCATGCTGCCACTCTGCCTCATGGTATGTCAGTGGCGCTGCCTCCGCTGCCTGCGCCATCAGCATGATGACTTCGCTGATGACATCTCCCTGCTGAAGTGAGGGGGTCCATGAGTAGAAGATGGACATTCCCTGGACCACATCTGGGTGGTTCGCTTTGGTCACAAATAGGAGACACTGATGGCACCTGTGGTCACAGCACCTCAGGATCCTCATCTACCCACCAAATGCCATTGCCTTGACAGAAATGAAAAAAAAGCTGGCAAGGTGGGTTATGGGAATTGCACTCTGTGAAACAGGAGAGGGAAGAAAAAAGTGCTCTGGTGGTGGGAATACTCTTGGTCACCTCAAACCTGAGTTGGGAAATTCTGCTGCTTGAAACTTCATCCCTGAATCTTTGCCCACCATCCCTTTAGAGTCTCCAACCCAAAGTATTCTTCTTTTCTTAGTTCCAGGTACTGGCATCATATCCAGGTTACCGCAGTTTGTATCTCTGTGGTACCCTGGCAGAGAAAGGGCCAATCTTGTTTCCCCTCTGGCCAAAGTCAGTAGGAGAGGACGCACAGTTTGCTGTTTACTTTAGTCTGTATAAATATGCCTAACATTGGTGCAAAGATTGCCTTTTGAAATAAACAGAAAATAATTAGATTGACTATTTGTACACATTAGGGATTTCGGGAAGAGGAAAAGGCAAGGGACATAAGAGACAGGGAATACTTAGGATCAAAGCTAGGAAAGGCAGAAACAACTACTTGCCAGTTCCAGTTTTAAACCTCATCTCCTAGACAGAATCCCGTTTCATAGATGAGTGTTGCGTCCCAGTATTTCTTTTCTGTGGTTGCAGCCTGACCAAAAGGGGCTGATCAAACCAAAGAGCACTTTTTAGCTCTTAAATGAAAAGTGCCCACTAGGAAGTTCCATCTAACAAATGAATTTCTACCTTATTAATTCCACTCATCTTTACTTAAACCCTTTATTCTACATACAATAGGTAGCACTGAAATATCCCAACCCTTTAAGCCCCAAGTGCCCTATGGGAGAGCAATTGGAATACAGCACGGCTGGTTTACAAGGGATTCCTTCCCCAGATCCCTATTCCTCTGGAGTTTTGCAGCCAAGGTGCTAAGAGAAATAGAGAGGAGACCTACCTAATCCTTGAAAGCAGAATCCTGAAGATTCATTCAATAGGTATAGAGCTGATGCCCTATCCCTCTGCCTGGATTTCTTCCTATTCAGCTGTAAGTGGTAAGATCTTTACATAATACGTATCTGTTTCACTGCCTTCTCACCCTGTCTAATGCCCCCTCCATTATTTGGTTAAGGCACCCCACAATGGCTCTAGTATTACACCAAGAGTGCAAGAAACACAGGGTCTTCTGGCTCTAGCAACATCATCTTCAATATCAAGTCTGCCTTGGAAGAGGATGACAGCCACAGGACTTCCATATTTCTTTCACCATAAGAGCCCCTCATCCTTTTCCTGTTCTGCTCTCTACTCCTCACTCCCGGAATACTTGGGTACCCAGGCTGGTTCTTGGGCTAGACAGTGGGGACCAAATTCATTTCCTCCCTATCAGTTCTAACACAGCAGTCTGATAACAGTGTTAGTGGGAAGAGCTGAATTTTCTGATATACCCACTACATCCTATCTGGTCAACATACTGCTTCCAGGTATGGGCCCTGCCTAGTGAGGGATTACCTGATGAAGGAGAGGGAAGTACAAGGAGGACCTCTAGAGTTCCTGGCCGTAGCCAGCTGCCCACAAGCCATAAGCCAATAAAACAAGAAGAGCGAGTTATAGCTTTTTATCTGGGTTTTCTCTTCATTCCCCCGGGACCTTTACCTGGTGCTGTTCTGACCAACTGGGAATACAGATTACCACCAAGACAAACAGAAAGATGAGACTGTCCACTTTCTGCCGTGAACTTACTGTGTAAATAAACTTCCAGAATTGCTACCATGAAATGAAAATGCCAGTCTGCTTTATAATTTTCATATATATTGGGGAAAACTGGCTTTTCCCCAGCTCTTTTGAGGGCATAAAACTCAACCTCTTTATTAGTTAAATCCCATTGTCCTATTACTTTCTTTTTAAGAGAAAACTGCTTGTACTTACTTTTCTTTTTTACAGTTACTTCCTTTCTGCCCTGAAACTATGAACTCTAGGTATGAAAAAAAAAAAAAAAAAAATCTTGACAAAACCTTCTTGCTTGTAAAAATATGTATTATATATTTCTATTTTTAAATCCTGCTCCTGAAAAATTCCTCTCCTGTCTCTCCTCACCTCATTTGGGGCCTTTCCACTTGGCCCGCATGGTTTTTACTAACATTGCAGGCCAGTGGAGAGAGGGAAAAGGGAGAACAAGGGTGGCCAGATCTTAAGTGTTGCTTTCTAATTGTCCTGAACAAGAAAGAGAAAAGAGCAACAATGAGGCCCCAGCTCCCATGCACAAATCTCCCAAACACCTGTCCTCGAGCTATAGCTGGCTTTCCAGAGGCTGTTACTGAGAAGCAGTTAACGACCCCTGTGGACTCCTACTTTTTTCTCTATCTGCTCCTATGGCTTCAAAGATTTTTGGAAAAGAAACAATAGTTTTTAAACGCATCTCTAATTTCTAAATTTTTAGAAGGTACTGACAAATATTGCAGGTAGTATAAAAGCTGCTGCAAAGTTCAGAGGAGAGAGACTATTAGATTCCAAGATAAAAAATGAATCCCCCAAATGAAAAGGACAAAGGAACCGGTCTTCCATTTTGCCACATTTCCTGTTCATGATAGCTCCCAAACTGGAGACATTCGTATTTAATTAACCAGAGAAAGTCAGTCTTGTGACCTCTACAGAAGCGGCCACTCAGGCTACTTCAATCACTCTGCATAATGCCAAGGAGGACCCGGGAAGTATACCTTCTTAAATGGATGTTAGTCAATAAACCTGGGCAAATAAGGCAAGATAAAAGAAAAAATGCATCCATGAACTGATAGGCACTGATGAAAGACAGAACAAAGACAGAAAGGAGAGAATTCAGTTGGACCTCAAGGGAACAGTCTTTGCTACCCTGATAGGTATTACTAGTGCAGTAAGTATTTCTAGGACCCGGAAAAGAAAATTCAGCTGTTAATAATATAATGATGTCCCTCCCCTGGAACCTATTTTTAAATTAAAACTTGGTTTTCACTTGATTACTTTCAAAAGAGAAGGGAGCTGAAGCCATTTCTGGTAGGAGTAAAGATTAAAAAAAAAGAATAGGAAACTACTAAAAATTCTAATAGTCACAGTTTTCCCAGGTATGAAACCTAACAATCAGAAGGCCTCCATAAGCATTGATAGAGAAATGTTCTAGTTCCAAATAGCTACCCACAGAGCAAAAGATTCAGAAACTTGAAATCCAATCTCCCTACTTCATATCACTCTGGTCTCCATTTTTCCCAGGACAAGAAAAATGTCCCCCATTGCTTTCTTGTTTCTAAAATTAAAACCTAGCATTCCAAGATCATTCTGCAAGTAATTTTGCACAGACATCTCCTCACCCCAGTGCCTGTCTGGAGCTCACCCAAGGTCAACAAACAACTTGGTTGTGAACCAACTGCCTTAACCTTCAGGGGGGAGGGGGGTTATCTAGACTAGGAGACCAGAAGTAGAAGGGAAGAGGTGAGGACTTCACAAGGTTGGTCTGTCAGAGCTTGAGTAGAAACCAAGTAAGTGGCAGCAAGGGATGGCCTGACCCAGGAAAAACCTGTGCATTATACCAGTTTCTAAACAGATGACTGTATCCAGAAAGTAGGGTGGACAGAAGATTGTTGGGGGTGTGGGGGAAACGGGACCTGATTATGTTGTTATTCTTGGACTGTGAATTTTGCTGATGTAAAACAGAATATTCTGTAAACCTAATGTCTATGTACAAATAATGAACGGTAACACAGTAAAATATTCAATGAAAAGTCAAACTATCAGGGTTACATTTGTTTTCCTCAATCGGTCTCATTTTATCCAATGGCTAGAATAACACTAAAGCTTCCTGAGGCATTTGGTAAGCAAGGCATCTGGTTGGACAGCGGGGGAGCACCAGGGTTCAAACCTGCATAAAATAGACCTTAAGAAAATGGACTAGAGGCTGAGCCAAATCAAAGCAGGATGGCCTTAGAGCAATAGCAGCTTCCTAGATGGTTTTTATATTGTATTTGAAATCAGCCCTAGGCAGGAATATCATAATTTCAAGGCCAAACTAAACATCATCTTCCCTACAATCTGCAACCCCAAAAGGAACTGGAAGATGAGGGGGAACAGACCGTTTCTGCATTATATACATACTTTCATTTACGAACATTTGAATACAGACTTTCTATACACACGTTACCTATATAATAAAAATGTACATGGCATGAGTATATGTCACTGTATAAATATAGAGTTTTAGAAATCTTGAACCCGCTCCTTCCTGTTCACATCAGTTTCTCCTCTTCTTCCTCCCCAGTCAGGTCCATCATTTAAGAGTTGGACAAAAAGGACAAGTGTCATTTGTGTTGGTCTGGGCCCAGAATTTGATACACTGGAAAGAAAGAAAGACACACCTCAGGTTTATCTGGAAAAATGGAGGGAAGGAAGGGAGAGAGTGCAATTAAGGTTCAACAAGGTCTAAGGAATGTATACTAAGTTGGAAAAACTGTTACCATGGGGGAATTAAGGGGTGATTTCATTATCCCCAAAGAATCTTCAAAACAGGTGAATTTTCACCCAAATCACAATAAAAAGTTAAAAATCAAAAATAGTCAAGCCTGTCCTTTTTAGAAGGAACATTAACAATCTTCTAATAATATTGTGAAGCTGCTTTTTGTTGACTATCTACTGTAGCTTGCTCCCATTTAGGCTGCGATGAGCCTCCATTTCCTAATACCATATATACCTAATACTCCTAATTCCCCTCAAATCTTATTTTTCTTATCAAGAATTCAGATTTAAATTCCATTTCTACCTCTTGGAAAGACAAAATGAAACAAAACAAAATAATAAAGAAGGAATCGTCCCTGCTGCTGAGAGACTTAATGCAGCCTAGTAATACAGTAAGAGAGATGAATAACTTGTCAGGTTGTGAAGATAATCTCTAGTAGGCAGCCTTTCAAGCTATTCTGTTATTGGAGTTACTTATCTCATATTCAGATTCTCATATTCCATTCCTCTCATCTAGGCAAAATCTCTTGACAATGCGGAATTTGAAACAAGGGTTAGATAAATGGGATTATCTCTTATTGTCAGTTTTCCAAGAAGAGACCTATCCATGCTCTGGTATGAACTGCTTATTCAAACCCTTGCAGGGAATGGGAAAAAAGGAAGCTGGGAGATGCTAGTTGACAGTATTCTGGATTCTGCTGAGGTTTAAACCACAATGTCTTATAAATCATATGTTTAGCTATTAATAATGAGCATCAACACAGCTGATTGTTCAAGAAAAATTCTTAGTTAACAGAAAGTGGAAAATGAGGAAGGTAGTACAACACCCACCTCCTTGTGCAACACATGGGTACATGCCATTGGATGCAGCTCACTGGGCTGGACAAGTTTCTGGCACATTAGACATAGCTTACAGGTGGCTGGAGCCTGCAGAACAGAGGAGGCATGATCAAAAGGATAAATAAAGTAACCTCTGGGTCTCCCTGTCTCCAATTATGCCTATGACTCCCGTCTACTATTTTCATTCAGCAAAAACATTTTATACCATCAAAATCACAATGAGATATTACCTCATTAGAATGGCTATTATGAGAAAACCAGAAACTAACAAGTGTTTGCAAGGATGTGGAGAAACTGGAGCCTTTGTGCGTTACTGGTAGGAATGAAAAATGGTGTAACCACTATGGAAAGCAGTTTGGTGGCTTGTCAAAGAGTTAAACATAGAATTACCATATGGTCCAGCAATTCTGCTTCTAAGGATATACCCAAAAGACTTGAAAGCAGGGACTCAAACACTTATGCATACACCAATGTTCAATGCAACATTATTCACAATAGTCAAAAGGTGTTAAAACCCAAATGTCCATCAACAGATGAATGGATAAACAAAATGTATACATACACATACAATGGAGTATTATTCAGCTATAAAGAGAAATGGATTTCATTTCTACATGCTACAACATGGATGAACCTTAGAAACATTATGCTGAGTGAAATAAGTCAGATACAAAAGGGCAAATTCTGTATCAGCCCACTTATATGAAATATCTAAAACAGGCAAATGTGCAGAGGCACAAGTTACCAGGGGCTGTGGGGAGGAGGGAATGGGAGTTACTGCTGAAGAGATACTGAGCTTCAGGAGGATATAAAAGTTTTGGAAATCGGTATGAGTGATGGCAGCACAACATGACCAATGTAATTCATTTCACTTCATTGTACTCTTAAAAACGGTTAAAATGGCTGGCAAAGTTTTTGTTTTCAAAAAAAGACTTTACAACAAAAGAAATAAAAGCTTATCTATATATTCTTGACTAAATTACTTTCATTTCCCAGTTGAAAACAATTCAACTAATGAAAAGGTGGTTTGTTTCTGCATTTCACCTGTAAACCCATTCCCCACTGACCCCATATATTCTCCATATTCCAGTTTTCAAAGAAAACAAGTCTTACATGTGAAGACCTTCCAGGATATGAAACTTGGGCAGAAGGCAGAAACATTGGGGTACTGATTTGGGCCAGCGGAGCAGGGAACAAGGCTCGGATCCGACCAAGTGGCTGTGGGCAGAAATACTATCTGTAAGAAAGTCTGAATAATTGAGCATATGACAAAAAGAGATCTTTTATTTC